TCGTTCTATTTTATTTATGTATGTGTGTGTGTGTATGTATATGTATGTGTATATATATGTATATATATGTATATGCATATATATATATATATATATATATATATAAGAAAACGCAATGAAAAATATGATTTAGCTATTATAAAAATCATGATAAAATGTGAAGTATTTTATAATTTGGACGACATATATATTATATATAGGCCTATGTATATATATGTATGTGTATATATATGCATATATATAATAAAATTATTTATTTTCTTTATACTGGTGTTACGTAGTACAATAATGTGTATTTTTCCTTCTTGCAAGTACTATGGTTTTCATTTCACCTAAAATGAAAAAGTGTATAATTATAATTGAGTATGTACACTTTATTTATTGACATTATTAATAAAAAAATATATATTTAAAAACAAAAGAACTAAAAGAATGACAATAATGAAGGTGGTGGTTTAATGGCGAAAATTGTGCCGGGCGGAGTTCACGGAAGAGGCGTTATGGAGGGATGAAATTGGCGAAATGCAGGACTATGACTAGCTTTCACTCTTATTGTAATTAACAGTAAACCATTTTTGTTTTCTAATTATAATTAGTTTTTTTTTTATTATGACAAACTATTGAACTTTTTTATACTATGAATTGTGTACCCCCCTTTTTTTTAATTATAAATAGTGGACCTCTTTTTTTTTAATTATGAATAGCGAACCTCTTTTTTTTTTAATGAATAGCGAACCTCTTTTTTTTTTTTATTATGAATAGCGAACCTCTTTTTTTATTATTATGAATAGCGAACCTCTTTTTTTATTGTGAATAGCGAACCTTATTAATAACGGTCCTTAATTATTTATATTATGAGTAGCGAACCCTTTTTCTTGATTATGACTAGCGAACCTTATGCCATGTGGTCCTTTTAATAAATTATGAATAGTGACCGCTTTTGTTTATGACTAGCGAACCTTATGAAGGGCGGTCCATATTTTTTTTTTTTTTATTAATTTTCTTGGTTATGAATAACGACCCTCTGCTATAGGGTAAGCTAATGTTATGAATAACGAACCGTATGAATAATAAACCTTATGAATAGCGACCCTTCTGACTAGCGAGCTTGACCCGGTGAAACAATGCATACACAGTTTATCTTACATAATCGTAGCTCATACAAGGTTGATTAAGGGATTAATTCTTAGTGCATTTGATACTCATACTCCACAAAGGGGAGAATTTGTATGTGCAGGCTGTAATGTATGGAAGGCAATCACCGCCAAAAATACAATTTCATACAATAAACGTGCTTTCTCAATCAAACAACGTACATTTACAAATAAAAAATGTATTCAAAAAAATAAACAACATACTTTTACAAACAAAGAACGTCCTTTTTAAAACAAACAACGTATATTGCCAAACGATGTATTTTCTCAAACGAAGAACGTACATTGGGAAACGAAGAACAATCCATGCCAAACAAACAATGTACATTGCCAAACGAACAACGTACTTTCCCAAACGATGTAAAATGCCAAATGAACAACGGAATCGTCCATTATTTCAACGGGGTAATTGTAATTTCGCGCATCACTCGCTGAACCGCGCTTAATTTGAGATTTTTAGGCACTTTCAAGGGGTGAAAAGGGCATTTATGAAAGGGTGGGGAAAGATTTTCCACAAGTTAATATTTTTCCCTTGTCTCATGGTGGTTACGCCACTGCGGAGAACATCTGGCATCATAGATCAAATGAGCTATGGACACTTTTTGAAGTGAAGCAGGGGTTGCAGGGTTTTTTGAGTCTGGTATATGATATCTTCCTTTTTATTCTTGTCTTTATTTTTCTCTTTTTCTTTTCGTTTTCCTTTCCTTTTCTTTTCCCTTTCTTTGTCTTTCCCTCCCTCTCCCCTCTTTCTTTTCTCTTATTACCCAGGCCGGTACGACGGCTTGGTCAGCCCGGTAAAAACCGTCAGGGAGGGGGTGGGGGCAGTCTGCCCCCCTGCCCCGCCTGTTACGCTACTGACACTACACCATGGTATTTCCTCTTCATAGATACATTTACAGTGACAGTGATATCCTTATCCTGTTACCAGGACAACTGTTTCTGTTACTATCTTGTATTTTAAGGTGTGACTTCACTTGCTACCTTGCTATGTTTTAGTAAACAGGTCCTCCTTTTTGACTCAGTAAGTTAAATACAGTACGTTAAAAGCAAGTCAACGTTTTCCTAGCCTTATTTATCTTCAAGAAGATGGACGCTACACACTCTACCCATATTACTTTGCACCGGAAACAAAACTAAGATATCTCTATTAATACTTCGTGACGTTTCAATTAATGAAAATTTTACAATAGAAGGTTTGCTTTTAATATCATCCTTCCAGCAATTTAACGAATTTTGTTTTAGAGCATGTTTTATTTCAGCTGCCCATATAGGATTGGGTATATCTCGATTATTTTTAATATAATGGAAAATACTCTCAATGTTACATTTCTGAAATATATTATCGACACAACCAAGTAATTTATAACTCAAGTTATTGATATTTTCAGATGCAGGTAGGGTTTTAAGTAACAGCTTTGGCCAACGACCTTCTTCCATTTTCATAATACGATCGATATAATTTAGTCTGAAGATGTTCTGGGAGTCGATGATGGGGGACCATCCGAGGTCTCCGTAAAGGGTAGAACGGGGTGTGTTTCTTGGAGCCTTTAGAATACACCTCGCCATTTGCATTTGCAGCCTTTCAATTTTTTCAAGATCACTTTTGCTTCCGTTTACCCACACCGCACTTGCGTAATTGATAGATGGAAGTGCGATCATTCGCCACAGGATGTTACCATAGTATACTCTATTAAAATTATTTAGATTATTGATAATTGATTTTATATAACCGATAAGACGATTTCCTTTTTTAATTACATATTCGACATGATTATGATCATTCATATTTCTTGAGATAAGTACACCAAGGTACTTGTATGTATCTGGTTCATTTATGCTGTAATCACCTAATTTCCAAACTTAGTTTTTATTTACACGTTTACCTTGACCATAACATTGGACTTCTCATAATTAAAGTTCAATTTCCATTGTTTTGCAAATTTAGTAGCAACCTCAAGCATTCTAACCAACTGGCGCTCATCTTCTGCCAGTAAGACTATATCATCCGCCCAGAATAGGGCTCCATGCCAGTTGTTATTTATATGTACACCAATATCATGGGATCTAAGTAGTTTGGTAAATTCATTCATGAAAATACAGAATAATATAGGCGACAAAACACAGCCCTGTTTGAATCCCTGGTGTATTTTAAATTCATCCGTCATAATATCCCCAAATTTTACCTTTCCTTTTACATCTTTATATAATAAATCAATTAATTTCCAGGCACGACCTCTGATGCCTACATTCCATGCTGATTTTAGAAGGCCATCCCTCCACACAGTGTCAAAAGCCTTTCTGAAGTCCAAGAAGGCTAGATGGGTTGTTTTTCCCTCATTGCGTCGAAAAGCAGCAATACTTTTTAAAGTAAAGATATTGTCTTCGCATCTATAGCTCTTCCTAAACCCTCCCTGGACTTTAATTCTTAAAGTTTCACTAATTTCAATACTGTTTGTGATAATGTCATCTGAATTAGGTTGTTTAATACAGTCAGTGGAAGTATTACCCTTAACACCCCTAAGTAATTTCCAAAAATCTTTACAATTTGGTCCTCCTTTGTTTGCTATTTCAATAGATTTGTTTACATTGTCGTTGTCTTTTGTTTTCTTAACAACTTGACAAGATTACGCTTTTGTTCTTCCACAGGAAGCTACAAGTAGCTTCATCTTTATCAGCCCTCTTAATATAATTTCTATGAATTTGAGCTGCTTTTTTTCTATTTTGTATGGCAATTTTAACTTCCTTATCAAACCATGTTTTATGTTTACCTTTTATTTCCTTCCTACCAATGCCTTCCTCTGCTGCTTTAATGACTATATTTTTCCAAGACAACCATAATTCATTAGCATCATCAAAATCATTTGCATTCCAATCTTTAAAACTATTTTCTAACTTTTCTTTGTATAATATAAAATCTTCATCCATCTTAATATCCCAAATAATTTTTTTATGATTTTTACAATAATCTTTTTTCAAGTTTTACATATTCAGTTTTAGTAATAACATGTTATGATCACTACCAAATCCATAGATTCCTAATTCATCTATCAATAATTCTTTTACATGGTTGAGAATAT